TGTTAGGTTTAATTTGTTCCTATCTGCTAGAATAATAAGCAAGCTGACAAAATCATTGATCCCAGTGGGGTGGTTATTTTTTCTAGATGAGTCTAAAAACATTTCTAACAATTTTGTATTTAAGCTCTTAACACAATTTCTCTATCCTGACAATAGAGTATGAGCAATGAATACTAAAATTTTGTCAACTTTTTAATGACATATTTATGAATTTTATGACCTTTTTAATTCATTAGTGAATGCCTGTATGTAGCATAAATATTAATAAGAACTTTGTGAGTTTGGATCTTAATGGTTAATTTACTTACTGAACTTTTAATATTTTGAAAGTATTGAAACAACTTGTAGCTTACAATTACAAAAATGTTTGAAAAATGTCAACCTGGAAAATGCACTTGTCTAACAAACCTTAGTGAATACTTTTATTGGAGTAGGTATTTCCTAAAATCTGGTAGCTTGGTGTAGTATTTTTAAAAAATTGGTAATTCTAGTAGAAAAATAGGAAAGAAAATCCATTTTGAAGATATATTTAAGGTATCAGTTATTGGATTAAACAAATATCTTATCCAACTTTGGCGTGCTGACTTGAACTATTTATCTTGTGTTCTATTATGATTGAAACTTAAAATAGCATATTCCATAATAAAAAGCAAAGTAATTTAAATGACAAACTTATTTGAAATACAAGACAAGAGAAAACCTTTCAATTTGAGAAGGTTTTTATTAATGTGAATTATTTTTAAGCAGCCTTCTTTTCACCATGCAACTGTAGGACTTTTTAACAGGATAAATTCTTGAAACATTGCATAATTACTGACACTGATCTTTCAAAGTTCAACAAAGAGGTCAAATTATTTTTTTAAATCAGTCATGTGAGATTGTGAGTTTTTAAACATTAATCTGCTCTTGGTATTAAATCCTTTAGTGGCACATTTTTAATCTTCTATAAATTGTATATTAAATCTTAATGCTGTTGCATTATCTAAACACTATTTAATCTGATGCTGTTGTTACTCTAATACCTAGTGTTGTTTTGTGCTGTAACTTGTGCAAATATGGAAGGTGTGAAAATTAAGCTCTTTAAAAAAAAGTATTTGTTACTTACAAACCTGGAATTGAAGTCTTGTAAATAATTCCACTCTGGAAAAAAAAATATTCACTGATTATGAGCTGGTTATATAGTTAACAAGTTTGGCATATGACCACGGTATTGAGGCACCTTTTGAGAATCTCATTACACACTCAATTTAGCATGCTCACATATCAAGAGATAAACTTGCTGCTTCTTTGGAAGTGACTGCATTCTGGTACTGGGTGCTTCATGTCCATGTTGGCCATCACACTAAGAAGATTGCTTTTTTCATACAAGTAAAAATATTTCCACTTTCCAAGATGGCTGAAAAACAAATGCTTGAAAGCTGTAATTGAAAATGCAATGGTGCTGCATTCTGTCAATGAAACAATTCTTTGTTGTAGAAACAGATGCATTTGATTGTATGTTCACTGGTAGATTAGTGGCTTTCTTTTTAAGGATATTAAATACTCTAATAGGAAAGGAAACCTATAACAGTAGACACACTACATAATTGGATGCTACTTTGCCCTTTCTACCAATCAGAAATCGGAGCCATTCATGTTTGGTGTTAAGTAGTCTAGTAAAATTTAAAATAAATGTCATAGTTACAGGACCAAGCTCACTCCTTACAATTTTGACAAAGTATTACCCTGGTGATGGGAGGGAAATGACATTAATGCAAATGCTTTGTCTAGTACATTCTGTTCAACTGTTGGCTCCAATGTATTGAATTGCACAACTTTGTTATCAAAGTTTCATGAATATTACACTTCTAAATTCTCTGAGGATAAAATGTTTGGAACTTTTGCTCCATTTGTGCTGAGTACAAACTCAATTGACACATTCTCACTTTTTTCCCCCCCAGATATATCTCAAATAGTGCTTCAGTTGTTTGCTATCTTTGGCTTGCTTGCATTCAAACAAATACTTGTTTCATGTCATATGTGAGCACCTTTTGCATAGCCATTGAACTTCCACTAGATGGATCACTTCTTATAAATCTCAAGGAAATAGGCACTTTAAACAATTTAATGAAATTATGTAGCAGGCTATAACTCTTGCAGTGAAATCAATACTTGTCTCTGACTCCTTGGGAACTTTATCTACAGGATAATTTGCAATCAGCACTCTGTTGTTAACCTTGACTAATTCTATTACTCATGAACTGTGATTTAATTTCCACATTGATAGACTGGAAGATATTCTATTCAGATATGGCAGTCCTCTCCTGGTGCTGTCTTTTTGAATCACAAGACCAAGTATGACCCAATTGTCAAAGGAGCAGAATTTCTTTAGGTATATCATCTTTATGTCAATATTCATATTGGTAATGGCAAGGAGACAAGTGTCACTCCAATTTAATCCCAGAAGGTCATTTCTGAAATAGTTTGTCTAAAATTCAGGATCTACTCAGTACTTGATAACATAGATGTATCAGATGACAGTATCAGTTCTGAAGAGAAGCCTGACCAAAACTATGTACAGAATAAAACTGGAACTAATGTATTGTTCTTGTGTGCAAGTTGTTAATTCCTTGTATAATGGCTAGTCATTATCCCAACAGCCAGGCATCATTGCACCAATCTGAGTGTGTTTGCAAGTCCTCTATCTTCGTTGTACACTCTCCCATACTGTCATGACATTTTTATTTATTCACTTTGGGAGTGCTAGTATCATTGCTTCTAAGACATATTAGCTGCTTGTGTGATGTTTTGTAGGTTTTGTTCTGAAAGGGTACATAACTTGGTGTCATGTTAATTGCCATGTTCTTTGTTGAATAAAACCAGATAAATAAGTTTAGGTTCTAAGATTCAATCGGGCTATCACTTTCAAGCTACTTACTAACAATTATGTCCAAAAGTCCACATCTAATGTCAAAACTTTGTACCACAAATTCAATTAACAATAATATTGAGTTGTGTATGAATAAATGATTATAGAAAGAAAAGGTCATGGTATATTGTCGTATAACTTGGTAATTGTCTTTAAATTTCTAATAAAGTATTGGTTTTTATTATATAGTGATTCTTTCAAGCAAGTTTTAATTTTGTCTTATATTTTGACACTGGTACACTCTGATCTTCCATGGGTTGTTCAACATGGATAAAATGCTGGAGAGTTTAACATTCTAATCTTATTAAAGATGAAGAATCTGGTCCAAACCATAATTTGGATTATGTAATGGATTACTTGAGATAAAATCTTACCTGACATAGATTTTAACTTTAATCATTTAGATCTTTTATTAGCACACTAGACTTTCATAAAGGTTTGACTAGATGTTTAAAATATCTTGATTATATTCTCAAGATGGATAAGGTTATCTTACTAATTAGAAACTAATTTTGTGGGGTTGTTAGATTATTTTTCAAAAATGATGAAAATGTTTGAGATTAAAGATTGTATATCTAATGAGATTTTATTGCACTATGGATCCATGTAAATACACTTGCATGACTAAGATGTGAGGATGAGTGTCTTGACTGTTAATAAAATTGAATAAACTCTAGATGTGACTGTTTGCACTTATACCATTGGATAACCTCCGAAACTGTAACAGCATCATTTGGTGTGGTTTTCATTCTATGCCCTCTGAAGAGTCAGCAGGAATAAGTTAAACTATTCAGGATTGCAAACTAAGATTCTAATAGTTTACACAAGTTTGTTTTTCATTTTTATGAATGCAAAACTAGGAAGTAATTTTTTTACAATTTGATGAATTATAATCTTTTACATTATGATATGAGATTATCTTTTAAAAATTGACTTTGTTTTATCTCAGATTTGGTTTTCATTGCAAAATAATTTTGCTTATAAGAATTTGCTTTTTTTTTTTTTTTTTTTTGTCTCTTTGAAGTGATATGTGTAGTCTATAAACATGAATACAAATTTCAAATATATCTAAAATATGTATCTATTTTCTAAACTGGCCTCTTTCCTGACTTTTAAATCACTTTTTTTTTTTTTTTTTTTTTTTTTTGTCTGGCAATCCTCAAAATTGCATAAAATTGGCTTTTATAAGCTTCTAAATAATTGAAGTTCTCATTAAGAAAATTTTATATGGATCAAAATAAGTGATTATTCTGAATGTGTGAAGTCAGTTGAGTGTGGTGAGTGTAGTAGAACATATCGGCCATCTTGTACCAATTTCTGTCGCAGATGCAAAATGTCCAGTCTGATGGAAGAGAATATACTTATGATTTGACAAATTACAGATCATTTTTTATCTATGTCTGCCTTTAAAGTAAGACAAAGGAAAAGTACTTGTCTGATTTTGCAGCAGGAGCTTGTAATACACAATGCCTTTCCAATACCTACAGTTAAAAATTTATTACTTATTTTATTTTCTTCAGAACCTTTTTGCAAACAATTTCTTATTGCCTGTTATCATTTGTTTAAAAAATGGGCTCTTTTCATTGAGTTTGAGCAAAGCAGATGGAAAGGCAGCTAATTTCCGTTAAGGTACCCTCAAGCATCAGTGATTCAAGGGTTTTCCAACATTCATTTCTGCAATGTCACATGTCATGTGACCTGGATTATTTTTAATCATTTGGATCTGATTATCATCAATGACTGTAGGCCTGCCAGAATGTTCTCTCTTCCAGATAAAAATTTGCACTTATGAACATAGATTTCTTACAAGTAGGACTCTCAGCTAGGATACCCCCTCCATAAATGGTACATTTCTTTTTCTTTTTTTGCTGTTTGTACATTCTTTTTTTCTTTTCGTACATTCTTTTTTTCTTTTCAGGAAATAAGAGCATAAAATGGTGAAAATTTATGTAATTTTCTTCCATATTCAGTTAATGTAAAAATTCAAAACTCATACATGGTTTGTATGGAAAGATGTACTGAAATATCAGGTTTTGTTTCTAAGTTATATCAATCCATAACATTTCATATAAAAATTTTATTCTATTTTCAGGTTCTGGCATGAACATTCCTATGTGGGATATTATAGGGTCTACAATGGTAACCAACAATTATATTAGGTTGACTTCTGATCATCAAAGCAAATCTGGAGGTATTTGGAATAGTCAGGTAAATCTGACTTTTTTTTCTTTTTTTTTTTTCCTTCAAATGGTTTTCCTTAAAACTTTTGTCAACTTTGGGGTGGTGGAGCTTGAAATAGTAAAATTCAATGTTATTTACAAGGTGTGATTTTTGAGAGATGTATGAAATGTCCATCAAGACACAGAAAACATTAGATAACTTGACAGATAAATAGGCTGATCAACCAGTTCAAATTTCTAATATACTAAATCTTTTTGTGATTTCATAGTTTTTCTGGTCATACTTACTGAAACCATTGGCTATAATTTACAGTGTAGATTTATAGTATAAATAACTTTTTCCTTAAATTGTTCAGTGATTGTTTATTTGTGGACATGTAACCAGTATGGAATCCTAAAAAGAAAAAAAAAGCATTCATTTTTTCTCTCTAACCAAAAATAAACCTAAAATAATGTTCATCTCAATTATGAAAATAATGAACACAATTCCCATTGGTTACGAAAATTTTAGCCTGGTGGAGACTAATGAAATGCTATGCACTATATTGCTAATCAATTCACTCCAGCACCACCTACCACCAAAAAAATATTTGGCAATGTTTGTTCATATCAGCAAAGCTGCAAAAATCTTGACAACTTGACTGATCTGAAACCC